TTGTTTATTTGTTTTTGGGCCACACTCAGCAACTCCCAGGGGAAATTTACTCCTGGCTCTCTCTATACCAGAAATCACTCTTGGCCGTGCTGGGGGTGGGGGTGATTCTTATGGGATACTGGGGATTGTTCCCAGGTCAGCCGTGTGCAAGGCCTCTCTCTCTCTCTCTCTCTCTCTCTCTCTCTCTCTCTTCCCCCCCCATCCAGCGCCTCTGTTATTCTTGAATACATACATAGTCACTCTAGTAGACAATCTACCATATATTGAAAATTCAGTGAAAGATATTTGAATGAATGAATGAAAAGGGGTGACTTGTGGGTCTCCAAAGCAGTACATGCATGTTGGGCTTACCTTTACCTTTTCTGAAAGTTTACCAAAGTATCTACCTCGATCTTTCATTTGTACCAGTCTTCCAAATAATTTGCTTATCCCCCTCGCTTCCTCTTCCAAGAGATAAGCTGTAGTGAAACCTTACTAACTTGAGTCTTAGTATGAAGTGTGCGTGAGATAGATGTGTAAACTGTTTGCGGAAATCAGTGCTCTCATTGCCCAGAACTGAAATCCTGCTAAATCAATGCTTTCTACTTCTTTTTATTTTATTTTATTTTTTTAAGTTTTAATTTTTTTATTAGTGAAACACCATGAGGTACAGTTATAGACTTATAAATTTTTGTACTTGGGTTTCAGTTATACAGTGATCAAGTACCCATCCCTCCACCAGTGCCCATCCTCCACCACCACAGGTCCCAGCATCCCTCCCACCCCCCATTCCCCCCATCCCACCCTGCCTCTGTGGCAGGGCATTCCCCCTTGTTCTCTCTCTCTTCTTTTGGGTACTGTGTTTTGCAAGAGAGGCATTGAGTGGCAATCATGTTTGGTCTATAGACTACTTTTCGCATGCTTCTCCCACCCTGGGAGGGTCCTCACAACACCCTCCATTTGGTGCTCTCTTCTCTATCTGAGCTTCCTTTTCACCTAGCACGTGTGGCTGGCCTTCAAGTCATGGAGCAAAATTCCTGGTACTAATCTCAGCCATTCCTGGGTGTTAGTCTCCCGTTTTGTTGCTTTATGTTCCCCAGATGAATGCAATCTTTCTGTTTCTATCCCACTCTTTCTGACCCATTTTGCTTAACATGATACTTTCCATGTAGTACCACTTGTATGTAAATTTCATAACTTCATCTTTTCTAATAGCTACATAGTACTCCATTGTGTAAATGTACCAAAGTTTCTTTAACCAGTCATCTGTTCTCGGGCACTCAGGTTTTTTCCAGATTCTGGTTATTGTAAAGAGTGCTGCAATGAACAAACAATTGCAGATGTCACTTCGACTATACCTTTTTGCCTCTCTGGAGTGCTATAGCTGGGTCAAATGGGAGATCAAATTCTAATTTTTTGAGAATCGTCCATACTGTTTTCCAAAAGGGTTGGACCAGCCGGCATTCCCACCAGCAGTGAAGGAGGGTTCCTTTCTCGCCACATCCACGCCAGCACCAGTTGCTTTTGTTCTTGTGGATGTGGGCCAGTCTCTGTGGTGTGAAATGATATCTCATTGTTGTTTTGATCTGCATCTCTCTGATGATTAGTGATGTAGAGCATATTCTCATGTGCCTTTTTGCCATTCAGATTTCTTCTTTGCGAAAGTTTCTGTTCATTTCCTCGCCCCATTTTTTGATGGGGTTGGATGTTTTCTTCTTGTGGAGTTCAACCAGTACCTTGTATATCCTTGATATCAACCCCTTGTCGGATGTGTATTTGTCTACCTCTTTTTTTGCTGAACTGCTAGGAACTTGCTTAGCTCATCTTCACATCTTTCTATGAAACTTTCTTTTTAAAACAATAAAAAAATGTAATTAACCTTGTGATTTCAAAGTTATGTAGTTGGGTTTTAGGCATACAGTACTTTGACACCCATCTTACCCATCTACTTCCCTCCACCAGTGACACATGCCCCCTCCTGCCACCCCTCACCTCTGCCGTCTTGACAGGCAGATCATAAAGCTCTGTGGTTGTAGTTTAGATATCATGTTTTCAGTGTTGTTGAGGGTGTGTGTGTGTGTGTGTGTGTGCACATGTGCATATAGCTATATTGCTCTTCCATCTCACAGTATACCCGAGGACCCTGTCCTGTTTCCCCATTACTTCCCCTCTCATCTTCCTTCACCCTTTGATTTCTCTCCTTCTCTGTCCTTATCCTCTCTGTCCCTTATGACTCTAGGGTCAAGGCTGATTTAAGCATTCCCCCTTTACTACTTTACATTTCATCGTCCATTTATTCTATATGCCACAGATCGGTGAAATCATGCCGTGTTTGTCCTTCTTCTGGTTTACTTCTCTCAGCCTGATACCTTCCCGTTCCAACCAGGTCACAGCAAACTGCGTGATTTCATTGTTCCTTGCAGCCACATAACGTCCTATTGTGTGTACATGCCACGTCTTCATAAACCATCTGTGATCAGGCACCTAGATTGATTCTTTATTTTGCTGTAATATAGCACTTAACGCAGCAATGAATAATGGTGTGCACCCATCCTTTAGAATGCGTAGTTGTGGGGTTTTTTTTTTTTTGGTCTTGAGGGTAGATAGCCAAAAGTGGAATTGCTGGGTCATAATTTTTCATTCATAAGTTTACTGAGAACTCTTTATGCTACTTTCTATAAGGATTGAACCAGATAACATTCCAACCAGAAATGAAAGATTTTTTTTTAATCACACCCCTGCCAACATAAATTGTTTTCACTATTTTTGATATGTGCTGTTCTCACTGGTGTGAGATTGTACCCCTTTGTCGTCTTGATTTGGATCTTCCTAATGATAAGTAATACTGAGTACTTTTCATGTATCTGTTGGCCGTCTTCCTGTCTTCCTCTGAGAAGTGTTTGTTCATTTCCTTTTCCCATTTTTTGATTTTGTTGTTGTTATTGACCTTTGATATATCCTGGATATCAACCCTTTATCTCAAGTATTGAATGAGAATATTTTTTCCCACTAAACTGTCTTTTAGTATTAACCCATGTTTCTCTTGACAGAGACTCTTTAATTTGATGTAGTCCCATTTGTTTATTTTTTATTTTGTTGCTTTTGCCAGTTGTGTCAGATCATTAAAGATGCCTTTGAGGTCCAAATCTTGGAGCATTTTTTTCCTCAGTGTACTTTATAGTTTCCAGTTAGATCTCAAGGTATTTGATTTGCTTTGAATTGACTTTTGTGTAAGGTATGAGATATAAATCCAGCTTTAAGTTTTTACAGGTGGTTATCCAGTCTTCCTAGTACCATTTGTTGAAGAGGCTATCTTTATTCCATTTCTTGTTTTTAGCTTCTTTATCGAGAATTAAATGTCCATCAACATGGGCCTGTACTCTTGGGTATTTGATGACAACTTCTATCATTTTGCAAGTCTCAATAGTCAAAGCCCCATCTCTTTCTAGCCTGAAGCTCCATTTCTTTCTGGGGATTTAGCAATCCTGGTAAATAGGACGAGGTGCTATGAATCATTACTGTTATCTATATATTTAAACTATTCTTTGTTATTACAATATAAATTTGTGATGGAGTATTTAAGATATTTAAGCATATATATATATACTCACAGTGGTCCTTTTGGGGCCACACCCAGCAATGCTCAGGGGCTCCCTGCTTTGTCTGCACTTGGGGATCATTCTCAGTAGTGCCTGGGGACCGTTGCACTGCAGGGATTGAAGTTGCTTCACTCTCCCCTGCCCTTAGTACGGAAGGAGTCCTGTTGGGCTGAGGGCACCATGTGGGGTACCAGGGTTCTAACTGTATTGGCCACTTGCAAGACAAATGCCTTATCAGCTGTACTGTCTCTCCAGCCCGTTTTTTGGTTTTGTTTTAATTTTTTTTTTCAAAATAACTTGTTTTTTTGGTTCACATCTGGTGGTGCTCAGGGCTTAGTCCTGGCTCAGGGATCATTCCTGGCAGGGCTCGGGGGACCATATGGGATTCTGGGCATTGCTTGACCAAGTAGAATGATCATTCTCCGGGTCACCCATGTGCCTTACTCGCCCCTGGCATCTCTCTTGCCTCCCAGATTCTTCTTCTTCTTTTTTTTTTCTTTTGACGCTCCAACATGAGGAAAGAAATCTGTTATAATTATCCTATGTAAGCTACCCTTTAAAGTTTTTTTATTTATTCTTTTTAAAATTTGTTCCATCTTGATTGTTTAAAATGTACAGAACATTATTTAAGAACTATTTTTCTTGTTTCAAATTGGAATTATAGAGGGTTTTTTGTTTGTTTGTTTTTTGGGTTTTTTTTTTTTTTGCTTTTTGGGTCACACCCGGTGATGCACAGGGGTTACTCCTGGCTCTTCACTCAGGAATTACTCCTTGCAGTGCTCAGGGGACCATATGAGATGCTGAGAATCAAACCCGGGTCAGCTTTATGCAAAGCAAACGCCCTACCTGCTGTGCTATCGTTCCAGCCCACCCCCCCTTTTTTTTAAAGTTATTTCTCTGGTATGTTACTGGACCAGTGGGAAGAACAGTTTTGTTTTTGTTTGTGTGTTTGTTTTTGGGTCATACCTGATAGTGTTCAGAGCTTACTCCTATCTCTGTGCTTGGGGATCACTCCTGGTTGCGCTCTAGGGATTGAACCCTGGTCGGCCACCTGCAAGGCACTTGCCCTACCTGCGCTATTATCTTTCCATCCCCAGGAGAAAAAGTGTTTTGAAAGGAAAATCATTTAGTGACAAAATTCCATAACTAAATTTTTGTTTATGTTTGTCTCTTTTGTTAAGTTAAATTCATTTTCTCCTGTGGCAAGATAGTTATTTGCAAACATTTTATTTAGGTCAGCCATCAGAATTAATTGACTCTTATCTGTAATTAGTTGCTTTTAAGGTAAGAATTATTGCCTTTCCAAATTTTTTGCTTACCAATTAAGTCACTATTATCATGCTTTTGCATATGAAAAGAACAGCTGTAAATAATTTTAGAGTCACCCACTTAAATTTATATCATTTCACTGTTTGTTGGCAGGACTTTGTGTCATTGTATCAGGATTTTGAAAACTTCTATACAAGGAACCTCTACATGAGGATCAGAGACAATTGGAATCGGCCCATCTGTAGCGTGCCTGGAGCCACGGTGGACATTTTGGAGAGACAGTCTCATGACTACAACTGGTCATTCAAGTGAGTTTTTTTTTTTTTTTCACTTGGCCCATCATTGACGTGCAACACTATGTTAGTTTTGGGTGCATCACATGATCTGATGTTTGTATACAATGTGAAATACCCTCTATGGTAAGCTTATGTCCTGCCTGTTCTTCAGCAACTTTTCTGTCTTTTTAGTTTTGTTGTTGTTTGGCTTTTATGCTTCACCTAGTGGTGGTCAGGGCTTACTCCTGGATCTGCACTCAGGGATCACTCCTGACAGATGCAGGGAACCATAGGGGATGCTGGGTTTCACACCTAGTTCTGCCGCAAACATCCTGCCCCATTCTTCAATTGCTCTGGCTCCTTAGCAAGTTTCCAAGATTGCACTTGGGGGCTGGAGTGATCTGCAGCCGGTGGAGTGTTTGCTTTGCATACAGCATGAGTTTGGTCTCCAGCATCCTATACAAGTACAGTGCACTCTGATTATTTCCCTTGTATATTTCTCAGTTTTTCTTGAGATTGTAAAATGCATTATTCTATTACATTTGACGTACAGTTTACAACAAAATGTGATTAATATTAAAACAAATAAAATATTAAATGAAAAACAAAACAAAACACAATCCCTATCCTTTCTATTAGGCCACTTACCAGAATCAAGTATCTGAATTTATTTCTGGGTATTTTGATTTTTCAGATATTTCAGGGATATACAGGGAATGTTTTTACTTAAGTGGATAGAACACTTTTATCATCATATGTTATTATTAGGTTACCTAAGTAGTGTGTGATGGAATTGTCTTTATTTGGGGGTGGAGGGCTTACATGGGCTGTGAGGGGTGGTGAAGGAATTTGTGGTGCTGGTTATTGAACCTAGGGCGCCTGTATGCAAATCATACAGTCCGTTCCTTTGAACTATCTTCCTATAGTGTCTTTTTTTTTTTAAACAACTGGCTGTATTTTAGGAATAGTGGGTTGAATTGTGTCATCTTGTCCCCCAAAGATAGCCCAGACCATACAGTTAAAATCTTCCACATATTTGTCTTAGGTCAGAAGGGTCCTAAACCACATTGTTCTCACTTGGAGGCCTGGGCTGAGAGCATGCAGTGCCCCTGCTCCATGTGGCTGGGAAGAGTCAGGATAACTTTTTTAGTGGTGCCATGGACTTCTAAGCATATCTCCTTCCATTAGTGTGGGAATTTTGAAGTCGAAGAGTATGTCTGTCTCTCAGTGGATAAGCACTACCAGATCGCTCTCCTCTCCACAAAAACACTCATGATTATTATTTTTTTCAATGCACGGTGCATGTGGAATGATTTAGGGCCACATCTGGTGGTTGGGCTCGGGGCTCTTCCCAGCTTGGAGTTCAGGGACCACGTGATTGAACTGTGGTCTGCTTCAGGTGCGTTAACCTCCGGACCCAGAGTTCAGGGACCATGTGATTGAACTGTGGTCTGCTTCACGTGTGTTTACCTCTTAACCCCTTTACCTTTGTACTATCTCTTTGTTCCCCTGATTATTCTTATCTTGTATATGAGACTATCATGACCAACTGATAACATGCTCAGTTTTTAATCTTTATTGACAGGTGAAAATTGGGGTTTTGTTTTAAGTTCCACTTCACTAATTGGTAGTGAGTTTCTTAGCCAGGGGCTGTGTGCCATTCCCTCCCCCCCCCCCCCCCCCCCCCCCCCCGGGGAAAATCACAAAATCACCCTAGTGGAGGGGGATGGATGACACAGGAATAGGAGGAGGGCTCGCCAGGAAGCAGGGTTGGGGAGAGGCCACACTCTGGACAAGGTTAAGACACTGCTCTAGAACAGTTTCTCTCCTATATATGGTACTTGTAGATTGGTGCATTTTTTTATTCCACATAAGTATTGTATTTACTTATGAGTCTCATAGACTTTTATGCATTGCAATACAGGTATACAGGGAATATAATTAAAGGTGTCATAAACATGGGTTCCTACAACTACCTTGGATTTGCACGAAATACTGGGCCCTGTCAAGAAGCAGCTGCCCAAGTCCTAGAGGACTATGGAGTTGGCGTTTGCAGCACACGGCAGGAAATTGGTGAGTGACCATGTGTTTGGGCTGCCCAGGTTTTCTTCTTGACTTTGTGCTCAGGGGGGAATATTACTGATCCAGAGCAAGAATATTAAGAACCCAGGTATATATTGTATATATTTAGCCATGGAGTTTGTTTATTATTTATTTTAACCATGCAGTTTCAGGTCAGGTAAAATGCTTTGTTTTTTGGAACTGGTCGATGGCTGATGCTTTCAACACATCTTGAAATGTATTTATCTTTCTTATTATATTTTTCATTATATCCAGGATATCTCCATAAAGTTCTGTATTTTATTTGTGACTTTGATGTTGATTTTATTGGCTTTAGCAATTAAGGTGATTATGAGTGCCACTTACTGAGCCTGTGGGCATACAAGGGTTAATCTGTTTCCATACTGGTAATTTGGGGCTAATAATTATTCTGACTTTACAGGACTGTTTCAAGAATTAAATAAGTTAGTGCATGTAATAAACTTGTATGAATGTTAACTCATTATTATTACATACCTATAAAGTATAAAGTTTAACATATTTATGTGAGGAGATTTATTTTAGTTCCAAGGAGGATTCAGAATTCTTCCATTTTGCCCCAGGGAATACTATAGAAGTTATAAGGCAGCTTTCTGGATAGTCTTCCTGTGATCACCCTAAAGCTTAGTGAATTAAGATAGTAAATCAATATTTATTTAATGAATAATAAATTCTGAGATATGGCTCAGAGGTAGAGCATGTCCTTATGGGTGCAAAACCCTGGCTTTGAAACCAGCCCCAATAAAACAAAACAACTAAAACGGTAATTCATTTATTGATGGAACAAGAAATTTTCACATGCTGCTGGGTTGTTCAGACTCAGGGGCCCGGTTAGAGGTGCGTTGTGCAATGAAGACAAATAGTAATCATATCATTTATCTTTATGACCTCTTTTGCTATATAAAGTGCTTGAGTATATACTCCCTTAGCAGCTCTACCACGGAGTGGGTAGCGCAAATATTATTATATGTATTTGCCAGATAAGAAACTGGGACCCAGAAAGGCTGAATGAGTTGCTGGAGCTTTAAAGGCACATGGCATTAAAACTCGGAATCTTCTTTCATTATATTTTCTCGTTACGTAGCCAGTATCATGGATGAGTAGTGTTCAGCCCCTGAAGGTCTGAGTATTGGCAGGAACTCACATGGGAAGTTTGCCAGTCAGAGTCAGCAAGGGACGGTGCTTGGTAGCCTGTCTTTTGCTGTCTGATAGACCGTCCCCAGGTGTCCTGGTAGAAGTTATATGCTTGTGATTCTGCACTTTGGGGAGGTTGACGTCTATCATAGTTCCGTGAGGTGCTGGGGCATCACAGTCAGGGGCGAGGATGCGAGATGAGTTTGTGCACCTTCCTGACCCCTCAGCCACAAGTGGGGAGATCCCCACTGAGGTGGCCCCTTCCTACCTCCTCCACCATTTAGAGTCCTTCAGTGCTTTAGCTCTCTGCATGATCTTCTTTCTGGGGTTTCAGGTCACACTCAGTGATGCTCAGGGCTTACTCCTGGTGTTGCTCAGGGGATCATAAGGATGCCGGAGATTGAACCCGGGTTTGCCATGTACTAGGCAAATGGCCTCCCTGCTATACTATCTCTACATGAGCTTTCTCTCACAGCAGGTTGCTTAGTTTTTGTTTTTAACATTATTATAATGTTATTAAAATTTTTTTGAGCCGTATCTGGCAGTGTTCAGAGTTTACTTCTGACTCTGTGCTCAGGGATCAAGGCTGGGGATACTGAGGTGCCTTATGTAGTGACAGGAATTGAACCAGAGCTGGCTGTGTGTGAAGCAGGCACCTTAAACTTTACTATCTCTTTGGCCCAGCATTTATGTTCTTTATGAGTCATTACTCATTGTAATACTGTCCTTCATAAACCTTAGTCTGGAAAGGTTATAATACGTAGATTACGGTTTTATATTTATAAAATAACAATTCTTAAACTTGGAGTTTGATCATCGTGACCTTCTTAATCTCCACAGGAAACCTTGACAAGCATGAAGAACTAGAGAAGCTTGTGGCAAGGTTCTTGGGTGTAGAAGCTACTATGGCGTATGGCATGGGATTTGCAACAAATTCAATGAACATTCCTGCTCTTGTTGGCAAAGTAAGACTTCGTGAATCACGAGAACTCCTTTCTGAGCATCTATCATTTGTTTCCTCAAGCATACAGAGCAAGCCATGACTAATGTGGTTTTCCTAGATACATTTTGGCTATGTCCTGTGGTGACTAAGCTTTCTTGCTAAATCCAGGATTCTTTCCTTTTCCACTCAGTGACTCTTACCTTCTTCATTTAATATCATTTATTTTTTGTTCGGGGGCCACACCTGGTTCTGCGCTCAGGGATTACTCCTACTAGGACTCTGGGAACCTTTATGTGATGCCAAGGATTGAACTGGGTTGATCCCATGCAAGGCAAGGGTATAGAACTCTTGAAAACATTACCAACCAGTTTGATCTGATTGATATTTATGAAACCCTTCACTTGCAGTAGCAAAACATTTACCAAGATACACTAGGTGCAGATATTATGAACTAAGTGGGGATGTATTCTATCACAATTCATTGCCTAGGTGGGACTAATATATTCAGAAAAAGGAATGCTTTGAATCGGGTCATTTAAATTTTCACCTAAAGAAATTAGAAAAGAAGAGCAAATTAAACCCAAAGATTTCAAATAGAGGAAGATATATTGATAAATGCAGGCCAGATAGTGCAATAAAGGTAAATGAAGAAATCAGTGAATTTGAAAATACATAGGAGAAAGCAGTGAAGCCAAAAGTTGGTTCTTAGAGAAGAATGGAAAAAACGATTAAATCCCTGGACTGTTCCCAGCTCGTTGAAGGGCTATTGTGTTCTTTGCATGCAGAAGCCCTGGAGTCCATCCCTTGTACCAAGGTACCGCATGTCCCCTCAGGCATGGCCAGGAGTGACTCCTGAACACCAGGGGCTATGACCTGCAAACAAAAAAAGATGGAAAAAGGGTGAAAATTCTAGCCAGACTAGTCAGGATGAAAAGAGAGGGAAGAAACAAAGGACCAGTAGTTTTTGCATCTATTAAGTAAATTCCTTTCAGCTTTTCTTATGTTTTACATATGTGTGGTTCTCTAGGTTCACTTTTGTACTTTTCCTAACATCCCAGTTTTTGACTCGTTTGATGCTTTAAAAAAAAAATCTTGGTACGAATGTGTTTATGTATATTTTGCATCTAAAAAAAACCCAAAACAAACATAAAACACATCACAAGTGGCAAGAGTGAAAGAGGGTTCTATAGACATGAAAGGAGAATAGAAGAATTATAAGAACAATTTGATATCAGTAAATTCACTCGATATGCACTGGACAGATTTTTTTAAAAGATAAGTGAATAGGCTTTGACTTAACCTAAAATATCATACATTGATGACTTGCATTGGAATTTCTTTAAAATTTCTCAGCTTTGGGGTTAAATAATCTCATTCTGATTTTTCCAATTGATTAAAAACTATTAATATTACCTAGAATTCAGTTTGCGAACAGATATGAAAATTTCTTAACTTAGAGGTTTCTTCCAAGTCAAATTTGATAATTGAATGTTATTAAATGCTTAAGTCATAAAAGGCAACAGGAAATTTCATTTTAATATTTTTAAAATCTGATAATAATTTATGAGGGGATTGCTTATTCAGTTCTCTAGTTTAAAGACTAGAGGAAGGATGTATATTGATTTAAGAGCTTCTGTCCTAAAAGCTCTTGTATTGTGTCCTTTACTCTGGTTGTAACCTTAGGGAAACAGCTGGGTAATTCCCCAGCAAGTTTTCTCCCTATGTAAAATAGAATAATGGTGCCCATGTCAAAGAGTTGCTGTGAGAATCAAAAATAGTAATGCATTAAAAAACTTTTACATCTGTTTTTGTTTTTGGGTCACACCCAGAAATGCTCAGGGGTTACTCCTGGCTCTGCACTCAGGAATTACTCCTGGCGGTGCTCGGGGGACCATATGGGATGCTGGGAATTGAACCCGGGTTAGCCACGTGCAAGGCAAATGCCCAACCCGCTTTGCTATCGCTCCAGCCCCAACATCTGTTTTTATATCTTCAGATACCTTTAGTATCTGAAGATATAATAGATACTAAACAAAAATACCTTTAGTAACTGAAGATATTAAGCACTTAGATAAGCACTTAGATATTGACATTGATGTTTAAATTGCTGCTTTTGGTTTATTTTGAGCAGTCTGGGGTTTGTGTTCAGGTGTCACTCTTGACTGTGTTCTGGGGACCATACATGGTCCCTGTGTTGAACCCTGACTTCCTGCAGAAAAAGCATGTCCTCCAACTCCTTGAGCTATTTCTTTAGCCCAAAAGTACCTTCTGCTCTTCATCTGTTTGTTTTGGGCCATACCCCGCCAGTGCTTGGGCTGCTTCCAGCTCAGTGCTCGGGGGTGACTCCTAGTGGTGCCCTGAGGACCATGCACTGCCAAGGATTGAATCTTGGTCTTCTGCATGCAAAGCGTGTCCCCGCATCCCCACCCAACCCTGGGGAATTCCTTGCCATGCTGACATTTTTTATTTCTATTTTGAACCAAGGGTATAATAGAGACTCATCATAGATTTGAAGAGGGGAAAAAGATAGCAAAATAGAAATGATGAACAACGCTAAGAAAGTTATGAGAAAAATAGCAATTGCATTGATGTTAGGTGGGAAAAAAACACCTAGCTGGAAGGAGGAAAAACAAATTGTGTATGGATATATGGGAGAGACGGATCGAGTATGGAAGGAGAGGAGGGGTAGACTTCCTCTCAGGGTGCAGTGGAGTTCCGGGAGTGCTGAGCAAAGGCCCTGAAGCCTTGCAGAAGATGGAGTTCACATCTCTCTCTCTTTTTTTTTTCCCCCAGTCTCCCTTCAGCTTTGACAGATTATTGTCACCGCTGCCGCTGCCGCCACGCTGCAGTGCTGGCGCCTCATGTTGGCAGATCTGAGGGCCGGGGTCGGGGCCGCACACATGCCAGGCTGCCACTCGCGTCACATCAGCCCCCTCAGTACTTTACAGAGACAGATTTTGACCCGGGGAGGAGGTGCAGAGGAGCACCCAGTGCCCGTGTAGCCCTCACCAAGCTTCCCTTTAGGCCCGCAGTTTACGTCACAACGGAACATGTCTCAAATTTAGAAAAACGAATTTTCAGAGTGCTGTCAAGGACGAGGCTTATTTTGGTTTCACCAGTGTTTCCGCTGATGCCTTTTCTCCGTGCCCCTCGCCCCCCCCCCCCCCCGCCCCAAGATCCCAAGATCTAGTTAAGCATCTGCATTACATTTAGTTATGTTTCACCAGTTCCCTGTAGTCTGTTTGCCTGTCTCTGTCCCTCACGAACTTGACCATTGAGCTGGGCACGGGCCATTTATTTTGCCTGCTGTTCTGTCACAATTCAGTTAAACCCGTGTGTGTCTGAGGATAGTCCAGAGGTCACGTGCCTTTCTCAGGCACATCTGGGAACCCTTGGTTTTTGTTTGTTCCTAGTGGCACTCACCCAACTAAGGTGTCACTAAGACTAAGATTCACATTCTAAAGGTGCCATTCCTTTTTTTTTTTTTAAATTAAAAAGTTTCTTTTGAGCCACACCTGGCGATGCTCAGGGGTTGCTCCTGGCTCTGCACTCAGGAATTACTCCTGGTGGTGCTCAGGGGGACCATATGGGATGCTGGAATTGAACCCGGGTTGGCCGCATGCAAGGTGAACGCCCTACCCACTGTGCTATCGCTCCAGTCCCTCATTTTTATTTTAACTGGGTTGCTTTTGTTGTTTTTGGGCCACACCAGTAGTGCTTACTCTTGGATCGATGCTCAGGGATCAGTCCTTAGTGACTTATATAGTTTGCCTGGGATCAAACCCAGGTTGGCTGTATGAAAGGGAAGCACTTTATCCACGGTATCATTGCTCCAGCCCTCTGAGTTGCTTTTTATTTTATTTATTTATTTATTTTTTGCTTTTTGGATCACACCCGGCAATGCACAGGGGTTATTCCTGGCTCATGCACTCAGGAATTACTCCTGGCGGTGCTCGTGGGACCATATGGGATGCTGGGAATCGAACCCAGGTCGGCTGTGTGCAAGGCAAACACCCTACCCGCTGTGCTATCACTCCAGCCCCATGAGTTGCTTTTTAATGTTGCTTGTGAAAATTTACACACAATAAGAATTACAAATAGCTAACTGTAGTTGTAAGCCTCTAAAGTATTCCTCTGAGAATATTCTGCAATAAATAGTCAAATATATTTCTCTTTATCTTCTCTTTACTTAATCACTTAATCACTTAACTTCCCGTTAGTCGTCGATTTGCTCGAGCGGGCGCCAGTAACGTCTCCATTTGTCCCTGTCGCGTGCTAGTGTAGCCCAATGGCATCTCTTCGCTCCGGGAACATGGAGGGCCTCAAACCGATCGTTCATGACCTTGACAAAGAAGTCTGACCATCTGGTAGGTGGGCGGCCACGCGGTCTCTTGACATCCCGTGGAATCCAATCAGTAACAGCTCTAGTCCAACGGTCGTCTTTAAATCTCATTACGTGACCAGCCCATCTGATTTTCGACACCTTGGCAAATGAGACAGCGTCCCTGATCCTTGATCGTCGACGGATGTCAGAACTCCGGATTCGTTCTCTCATTTGAGTGAAACGTGATATTCCAAGCATAGCTCTTTCTATTCTTCTTTGGGAGACCTGAATGGCGTTCTCATCTTGTTTGCGTAGGGCCCAGGTCTCTGAGGCATATGTTAATGCAGGAAGAACAGTGGAATCAAAGAGATGTGCCCGGAGCCGGAGGTTCTTCGTCCTCTTAGCTATTTCTTCGACATTCTTGAAGGCGTTCCAAGCCGCTCTCTTCCTCCTGCGCAGCTCGGGTGCCAGGTCATTTGTCATGTTGACCTCTCGACCTAGGTACACATAGCTGTTGCATTCGGAGATGGTCGTTCCATTGAGAGCGAATGGGGCGTCAGGAACAAGGCTGTTTCTCATAAACATTGTCTTCGTAAGATTCAGCTGTAGTCCTACCTTTCCACACTCACGGTCAAAGTCGGCCAGCATTTGTGCCGCTTGGCTGATGTTTGGTGTTATTAAAACAATGTCATCAGCAAAGCGGAGGTGGTGTAGTTGCCGACCATCTATCTTCACTCCCATTCCTTCCCATTCCAGTCGTCGCATGATGTTCTCGAGGGTGGCACTGAAGAGTTTTGGTGAAATGGTATCACCCTGCCTCACCCCTCTCTTGACATCAACGATCACTTCTTTGTAGAATGGTGAGATCCTGGTAGTGAATCCGCAATACAGCTCACGGAGGATCCTGATGTATTGGGCTTGAATGCCCTGATTGGCTAGGGCTTCAATGACCGCTTCCGTCTCAACAGAATCAAAGGCCTTCTTTAAATCAATGAACGTTAAGCAGAGCGGCATCTTGAACTCCCGAGAAACCTCAATGAGCTTGGTTATCGTGTGGATATGGTCGATGGTGCTGAATCCTTTGCGGAACCCTGCTTGCTCGCATGGTTGTCCTTCATCTAATGTTCTGCCAATCCTATTCAGGATGACTCGAGTGAACAACTTGTAGATGACAGACAATAGGCAGATCGGGCGATAGTTGCCAATGTCATGGATGTCTCCCTTCTTGAACAGTAGTACGGTCCTGCTGGTTTTCCATTGATATGGGACCTTGCATTCAGACAGGTAGCGAGTGAAGAGCCGAGCCAGTGTATTGATGAGTACTGACGGCAGGTTCTTCAGGTGTTCAGGTCTGACCTTGTCTGGGCCGGGTGCTGTTTGCTTCTTTACTCATATTCGTATTCTCATCTTCTCTTTAAGAGCTGTTATTTACTTTCTGTCCCTTTTCTCCTATCCAACTGGATATTTTGATGACGTTGTTGAGAGAGAAAAGCATGCTCAGATGTAAGATGCTCAGATCTTACAGCTGAACAGACTCGGGAGATACTAGAGAGTGAGAACTGGGGAAGAAATGACAGCCTCTGAGCGTCGGTCTTGCTGCCTTGGCAGAAAGCCAGATGTACACAGTAACGTGAAGCTTGGTTATGGATTTAAGGGGAAACTGAGGATTGCCCTTCATAGTACCTGGGGGGGAAATTGATAAGTAGGATGTGCTTGAATTCTTTGATTTAGGGTAGGGATGGGAGGAAGACTGTATTATCTCCACAGACTTGATCCTCTCAGCTGCCATCTCTCCCAACGTGCTTTCCATTAATAAAATTCAGAGTTGTACCAGAACCATGACATTCTACCAAAACAATGAATGGAAATTATGAATGCCAGCGTATCAGGTTTCAGATACTAATCAGTTGCTCTGTAGGTGTTTCAGGCAATTACGGGTTGAGGATATGAATTAAGGGCTGGAGATGCAGTTTGGCAATAAAGCACATGCTTCGTGTGTGTCAGGGACCCTGGCTTCTTCCTTGGCATCACCAAAACAAAACAAAACAAAACGCCAAACCAATTAAGTTCAAAGAGTGGAATTTTGCACCTATTTCTAATTTTGCAGAAAGAAAAAAAAAGTTCTCTTGTTCTTCAGTTGCTTTACAGTTGTGCAGGCTTTCCTTACGACATAAGATTTTTAGCGTTTTGTCATTTGCTTAACTAAGTCTGCCTCCCACTTCTCATTTCCCTCTGCTTGTGGTTTTGCAGGGTTGTCTGATTCTGAGTGATGAACTGAACCACGCCTCCCTGGTTCTAGGAGCCAGGCTCTCGGGAGCAACCATTCGAATCTTCAAACACAACAGTGAGTTGGTGGTAGAATGCCCGGAAGGGCTTGGTCCTGCGTAGTTTTTGTATCAGTGGCAGTGGTCATGTTAGTTGCAGTTAGAATGGAAAATAAAGGGCTGGGAGATAGTGCCAAGGATTGGAGCACATGTTTTGCATGCAGCTTCTTTTGTAACTGATTATAAGAATATTTTATATTAATTATTATTTTATGTTGTTAAACTTTTTGTTTTTAACTTTGTAATGTCTTGCTAAACAGACTTGTTCAAATTATTTTTGCAGTTGCTATCTTATGACTGATTTTTGCATAATGTGTTCCCTATTCTAAGATTGTTATGTAATTTTGGCAGTTTTATGTAATATGTGTATATTATTGTGTATATATATTGCTTGTATATGTATAAAATATATACATACATGTTGTATATATGCAATGTATACAACATATATATACACAGTATATATACAACATATTTTTACATATAATGGTATATGTATGATATATATTCTACATATATATTGTAGTTTGTTTTGGGCCACAGCTGGCGGTGTGCAGGACTTAATCCTGACTCTGCTCAGGGATCACTCCTAGCACTGCTAGGGACCAATATGGGATGCCAGGGATTGAACCCTGGTCAGATGCATGCAAGGCAAGCTCCGTACCCTTTCTTCCGTCATTCCTTCCCCGGTCGCATATTTTTATTTTTAATTATTTTGTTGTTTTGGGGTCACAACTGGTGATGCTTAGGGGTATCTCCTAGCTCTGCGCTAGGAATTACTCTTGGTAGTCTCGGGGGACCATCCGGGATGCGGGGATTGAACCTGGGTTGCCCGTGAGCAAGGCAAGTGTCCTACCCACTGTACTATCTCTCCATCCAGCTCCTTCTGTAGCATATTTTTAATTTGCACTTTTAGCGTGGGGAGTATAATATGGAAAATAACTGGATTTTTTTTTCCCTTTAGTAGATAATATGCTTGGGCATTCTACGATAGGTATTTCCTTTCATCTGGCATTTGAAAAAGCGTTTCCTTTTCTCTTCCTGTCTATAAGGAGAGGAAACTGAGACAGTGAGGGCATGTTTCCTTGTGTCCTGCTGATTGCCACCCTTCCCCTCTGCAGCAGAGCTGGAGTCTTCAAGGACACAATCACATCTGTGGGGGCACCTATGCCTGGGCTGGGTATTTAGAAAAATTGAAGGTAGAAACACAGCCTCAACTTTTCTCTCATTATGTCTGTGATGCAGTTCTCTTTTCTTGTTTGTCTTTACTGTCTTTCACAAACAGATCAACACCACATCCCTTTGTAACTCTCTTCCTGTAGAGCGAGTAAGAAAGAATGGGAGGCCCAGCTCGTAGGCAGGGGTGAGCACTGGTCTTGCATCAGAGAGGGACCTGGGTTTGATCCCTGCTACACACACACACACACACACACACACACACACACACACACTAAAATCAGATTTTATGACGGGATGTTTCCCACCCATGTTAATTTTACACCTGATTGAATGTTGCATAGACCGGTGGGGTGGGGCTGGGGTGCGTTGTGCTTCTTTTTGTGGTACCAGGTGTCAAACCTAAGGGTATTATTCAGGGAAAATAGTATTTTATATATACATACATACATACATACATATTCATATATATGTATATCCCCCTTCCTCAGGGGGTATGGCCCACCTGGCAGTGTTCAGGAAGTGTCTCTGGGTGTGCTCAGGTGTGACCCCTGCTGGTGCTGGGGTTCGAACCAGAGCTGCGGTAGAGAGCGCATGGCTCATGTGCCAAGCCAGAGCCTTCCCTCCTACATGGCCTCTCTGGCCCCAGGGCAGATATTTGTAGTACGACACCCAGAGTGGTGGTGGCAGTAGTCTTCAAAATGTTATTTTAGTTTATTATTTTTTTATTTTAGGGGGCGGATTTTGGGTATAGCCCAAACCATGGCCCCTCCCAACATCATTTTTAACAATTACTACGGTTGTGCTCTTCGTTAGTGGCAGCCAGCCAGCCTCTTTCCTGGGGGGGAGGGGGGTGCCACCCTTGGGGCTGTAGGGTTTGGTTGCATACAGACAGCTGATCAGTCAAACTCGGAACAATCGCGGCTGATTGCCAGACTTACACAACAGTTTTCTGCGTGCTCAGACTGGTGTAATTTTAGCCTGTCACCAAGATAAAGCTGTTTCATGAGCCCTTTTCGCTTTGCAAGGAAATAGGGACCCTGTGCTTGGAGGTCATTTGAAGTCAGCCCCTCCCTCTCTGCGGGCTTTCTATGAGTTTGTGTATTCGTAGAGTTTGCTCACTCTCTTGGCTCAGTCTTCTCTATGCACTTAATTTTTGAATGGTGTCCTAGGATTAGGGATAAAGTTGATTCTGTGAATACGGAAACAGGTAGAAGAAAGACAAGGCATTGTCCAGAAACACTGGCCATTGCATAAGCTTCCTCATCAGTGGAATCAGCCACAGTCATTGAATCAGTTTTCTCTGATTTTGAACATTTTTTTTTTGTATTTTTTTCCTCTATATTTTGGCGGGGCGGGGGCGGGTGGGGGTGGAATGAAGAGATTGGGGTTTAGGGGCCCTATCTGGTAAGCTATTCCTGATCCTGGACGTGGTGATTACTCCTTGTGGTACTCAGAGAACCACACAGTGCCAAGGATTCAGCCTGCGTCTCCCAGATGCATAGCTTGTGCTTGGCCCATGGATCTGTCTTTTCAACCCTGCAGTTAAAATCAGATCTCAAGAAAACAGTTCCAGAGAGATGGGTCACAAGGCTGGAACCTGGGATTCAGTCCTCAGCATTGCATGGGCCCTGAACACCACAGGGAGCGAACCCCCAGCACCGTAGGGTGTACCCCCCACTCCCCCAAATAGCAGAAACTTACTCATTGTGCCTTTTTTTTTTTTTTTTTTTTTTTTGCTATTTGGGTCACACCCGGCAATGCACAGGGGTTACTCCTGGCTCTGCGCTCAGGAATTACTCCTGGCGGTGCTCAGGGGACCATATGGGATGCTGGGAATTGAACCCGGGTTGGCCACGTGCAAGGCAAACACCCTACCCGCTGTACTATCGCTCCGGTCCCTGTGCCATTTTTCTAATTCATATACAGTTACTATAATTGGATGCATTATCAGTTCTAGTTATGCATACTAATGTCCTTCCCTTATACATCCTTCCTGAAGAAGAAATATAGACTCGCATTTCTGCAGTTAAGATCAGAGAGAAAAATGTTCTGAAATTCCTTCTTTTGTGCTTTAGATATGCAAAGCCTAGAGAAGTTATTGAAAGATGCCATCGTTTATGGTCAACCTCGAACACGAAGACCCTGGAAGAAAATTCTCATCCTTGTGGAGGGAATCTATAGGTAATTCTGTTTCATTATTTTTCAACTCTTTTTTTTTTTTCCCTCTTGGGATGGGCTCTTGGGCCACACCCAGCGATGCTTAGGGCTTACTCCTGGCTCTGTGCTCAGAGGTCACTGCTGGCAGTGCTCGGGGACCAGATGTAGTGCTGGGGATTGTACTAGGTCAGTCGTGTGCAAGGCAAGTGCTTTCACCCCTATATGATCTCTTCTCACCCACTGTGATCACGATCACGATCATCCTGTTGTTCGTCGATTGCCTCCAACAGGCCCCAGTAATGTTTCCTTCATCCTAGCCCTGAGATTTTAAAAAGTGCCATATTCAAGGCTCTTTCAGGGTTAGGAGAATGAGACCCGTCATTGTTACTGGTATTTGGCATATTGGGTACGCCACGGGGAGTTTGCCAGACTCTGCCGTGTGGGCAGGTTACATTCGGTAGCCTGCCAGGTTTTCCAAAGTAAGAATGAGATAAGATGTTGCGTGGCCGCAGATGGCGGCCACACGCTTCCGGGAGCTGGGTTTTATAGTCTCTGGGTCTTAGCCATTAATGGGATTACACGGCGCCAGAGGGCCAGTTGGTGGGTGTGACCCCTGCCTACTGGAAGATGGAGGATCTGGGTGGAGGATGCTCGGCCCCCGATCCGAGCAGGCTTTGAGATCTCAGTCCCGGGACCCGCATACATTTGTTCCTCTGCCGGTACCAAAGTCTGTTGCCTAGACAGTCTGTAGCAGAACCTGTTGTGACCTTTATTCTTCTCACCTGAATTAAGATCCATTTTATTCCGGTGCAGTTTTAAACTATCGAGTTCTCCTGGGTGGATAGGTAGTAGAGTGTGTAAGACACTTGCCTTGCATGCAGCTGACCCACGTTCTATCCCCAGCACCCCACACTGTGTATGTTCCCCCAAGAGACCTCGGGGCACAGAGCCAGGAATAATACCTGAGCACATCTGGGTGTGCAGTCCCGTCTGTAAGCCCCCCCAAACAAAAAAGATCCAGTCTCCTTTCTCCTGGATATCTGCCTCGCCATGGCCTCATCTTGCATTGCCAATTTAAAACCACAGACCATGCAGTACTCTGGATCAGGGAGGTAGTTCAAAAGGGTGGAGATTTTTTATTTCTGGTTCCATTCCCGGAGTTCCGTTCCGTTCTTTTCCCTTCCCTTCCCTTCCCTCCCCTCCCCTCCCCTCATGGTTCCCCATGCACTGCTGGCATGGGGCCCTCAGGCACTGTTGGATGTAATTCCCCCAAGCCAAAATAAAAGAAAAAGTTATATACTTAAAAAATTCACAGTAATAAATAAAGGGGCAAGTTCCTAATTTCATCCTGTCTTGCCAGCATGGAAGGATCAATTGTCCGTCTCCCAGAAGTGATTGCCCTGAAGAAGAAGTACAAGGCGTACTTATACTTGGATGAAGCGCACAGCATCGGGGCGCTGGGCCCGACTGGCCGCGGCGTGGTTGAGTACTTCGGCCTGGACCCCAAGGATGTGGACGTCATGATGGGCACATTCACCAAGAGCTTCGGTGCTTCCGGAGGTTACATTGGCGGCAAGAAGGTACGCGGGCCGTGCGAGTTGGGCGGTTCTGGTCAGAGGTTCTCAGCTTGCTCAGCAGCTCGGATCCTGAGCCGGCGTGGGGCCCTCCTGCGGGTGCTTGTGGCCGAAGCTCCTCGCCCACGGGCTTCACACCCCAGCTGTTTGCCAAGTGACCCTGAGGATCTGAAGGGCAGTTCTGTCCATTGTTCGTTGTTTCCTTATTCATTCTGAGCGACACGCTCTGAGGCACAGAACACCCTCTTGTGTGGACGAGTGCACGCACAGTGGTGCTGCCTGTTCGCCACGGTTTTTTGTTGGCTCTGCATTGTGCTCTCAGCTTTAGAAGCGGGGTGGCGGGGGGAACAATGGGGGGCTGTGGTGGGAGTCCCGGGGAACAGAAGACCACTTTCCCTGCCCTCGGACTTAAATGTGTCTCGGCTGAGCACGGAGACAGGCAGAAAGGAGATCGTTGGCTGGCTCTGGCTCTCATGCTCCAGGCACTGGATCTTTCAATTTACGAAATAGTGAACTTCAGGGGCTTCAGAATCCCTGTGGGGATGGAAGCGGCTCGGTCCCGGGCAGTTCTAGGTTTGTATATCTGCCCCAACTCGCTCAGCGCCTTTGGAAAAAGTTTTCAGTTTCCTCATCTGTAGGACAGAGAAGTTTGCCCGGCTTACAAGATGGCTGTAGGGTTTAGAAAAGGAATGTGTGTCCCTGCAGCAACCTTGAAAGGATTATGAAGTTACAGCACTGGCTGTCCCTTAGGCTGGGGAGAGGACTCGGAGGACAAGAGCACCTATGTGGGAACACTGAGTTTGAACTCCAGCACTGCATGATTTCTAATTAAGGCTGGTGTGATCCCCAACCCACAACTCCTGTGCCCCCCCCCTGTCAAAAATAATAAAAAACCTTACCCCAAACCCACCATCAACAACCAAAGAGTTGTTTTTTTTTTTTTTAAATGATCGATGCAGAGTTGGCAATCAAAGACAGAAAGGAGATTAGTGGTGGTTGGGGGCTGAGGGTGTGTGGGAAGTTAGGAAGTGGCTACTGATGAGGGTGAGGTTTCTTTTTGGGTAAAGAACAGTCTAAAATCAGTGCTGAAAGTTACACAGCTCTGTGCTTACATGGAAAGCCATTGAGTTGTACACTTTAGGCCACTAGGGCATGTGAATTCTATCTCCATCAATCATTGAAAGAAGTCTACAGCAGTAGGGGAAAATAGCCTTGTCTAGTCTTTGTGGCACATCATAGATGCTGATAAATGTCCTTTATTCCTCAGATTTTTGTTCATGGGGCTAAGCGTCTATCAGCTAGAGTTGATTGTTAAGACTGGCTGCTATACCAAATGATAGAAAATTGATATTCTGGGAGATATATTTGCATATAAAAGCACATGTATGCTTTTGTCATTGTATGTGATTTTCAGTATATTTGAAGAATATGTTCTATTCTTTTTTTTTTGAAGAATTTATTTGAAGAATATATGTTCTATGGTCAGATTTCTCTTTATTTAGTTCTGATATCTTTTAAAAAACTTTGTTAAGTGAGGCAATATAGTTTTTTTTTTTTTGCTACCCATGACGTATTTGATATGCCAAACACAGTAACAACGTGTCTCACAATGGAGACGCTCGAGCAAATCGATGAAAACGGGAGGACAGTGCTACAGTGCTACAGTTTATTTTTGCGTTTTGGGTTATACCTGGCAATGCTTAGGAGTTACTCCTAGCTCTGCACTCAGGAATTACTCCTGGCGGTGCTCAGGGGACCATATGGGATGCCAGGGACCGAACCCGGGTCAGCCATGTGCAAGGCAAATGCTCTACCACTGCTGCAGCCCCAAGGCAAGATAGTTTTTATTGAATAGAATTTACTTAGGCATGAAGGGAGAGAGGAAAAGGTGTTTAAGAGAGAGCATGGATTCTTCAGAGTGGAAAAGCAGAATGGGAAAACAGTGTGTTCAACAGGAGAATAGGGCCAAGAAAGAGCAACCCCAGAGTTTCCTTTTCCTTTCCTTTTTGGTGTTTGAGCCATACCCAGCAGTGCTCAGGACTCCCTCCTGGCTCTGTGTTGTAGGTTGAACCCAGGGTAGCGTCTGTCACTCCACCACTTCCTGGCTCCTGCGAGTGCATGCTTTAGGTTTCAGCAGATGAGAACTTGCCAGACAATAGGGCTACACAGCTCATCATGTTGAAACTTTTGTCACTGATGAGGTGCTTCTTGATTCTGTCAGATGCCTTTACTGTCTAAGGAAAGACCTGGTGAATTTCTGTTTACTTTCTGCACACTTATATAAACCTGTGTGCCTGGAGAGTATGTGATGCCTTTTAAGTTGGCGTTGGGAAGTGGTGTTTGTTTCTTTCCCCCGCTTATGCAGTAATGTACGGGTGGGTTTTTGCAGACATTGCCAGGTATAGTGCCCTGTCATTTTCTGAAACACTCAGAAGTAAAGTCTTCGTCTCTGAAAAGCAGTTCCACCTGGTAATTGAGGAGTGTCAATCTTTTTGTCCTAATGAATATTTTCTCTATAGAGGGAAGCTAGATTCCCCTCCTCCACGCTGTGTCACGTTCCCATGCCTTGGGATGCTGCCGTGTCACAGTGACCTCCAGCATCTGGCCGCGCTGGTTGACCGGGCGCCCGTTTGTTCCCATACTGTGGAAGGGAGGGCCAGTCTGCTTCCTCCTGGGAGGACGCGTGTCCACTGCACTCGCGTGTCCACTGCACTCCTGCGCTGCTGCTGCTCACTCACTTTCGTACCCTCCCTAGGAGCTGATCGACTACCTCCGAACCCACTCTCACAGCGCCGTGTACGCCACAGCCCTGTCTCCGCCGGTGGTAGAGCAGATCATCACCTCCATGAAGTGCGTCATGGGGGAGGACGGCACCACCCTGGGTAAGTGACCGTCTCCTTGGAAGAGCCCCTGGGCCCACGGAGTGCTGAGCAACCAGGCATCTTCTTTTGTTAGCTCTCTCTCTGTTAGTTTTCTGTGTGAGGGGTGAGCTGGCCAGGGGTGCGAGGTCTTGGTTTCTGTGGACACTTCTCAGTGTATAGGGTACGCATGTCGGGAGAAGTAGCCCAGCGCGGTTCCTGGTGATTTTTTCGCACTATCCTGTGGCCTCCTAAGCTCTAGGTAATAGGCTGCTGAATCTTTATTGAATTATACAGGGTTAGTTTGGGGGGTGCTGGAGGGGTAGAGGGTATGCATGTGAAATTACAGGTGACCACGTAGTTAGGTTTTGTTCCCATTGTGTTTTAAAGCTGCTATTTCCGTGAATTAGTGTCCAGGACGTAATGCCTTTTCAGAATTCCTACCTGAATATACAGTAGATAATAGAGGTTATTCTGAGTCTTTTATTCTAAAACGAACATTATTAAAGTGTGTTTTATTTTCTCCTACTTTTATTCTGCGTCACCAGGGGGCAGTGAAGACTGCAAAAAAGTTAGAATGGAAGGGGTGTGGTTGAGTTAGTCGGCGGAGGTTGGGATAAACATTTTCTTTTTCCCAATCATGATCAACTTTGTTAACTGTGTGTCTCACTGTAATTCTTTATTTTTTTTTTTCACTGTAGGAGTACTGCTATTTATTCAGCCATTGATTCAGTTGATTGATTTGAGCAATAACTCCACATTACTTTTTTTTTTATTGAATTACTGTGAGATGCAATTACAAAGCTTTCATGTTCGAGATTCAGCCGTACAATGATCAAACACCCATCCCTCTACCAATGCACACTTTCCACACCACCAGTTTCCCCCGCCTCCCCCACCCGCCATCCCAGTCGTCACCCTGCCTCCATGGCCGGCAATTTCCCCAATACTCTCTCTCTACTTTTGGGCATTATGTTTCGCTAAAATTTTCACACCACCATTCAAGCCTGCCTGCCTGGGGCAGACGCTAGATCATTTATTGTCCATTGATCATTTTGAATATCTTGAGTGCCGCGCCTGCACACTTCTGGAATCCTAGATTGTAAATGGTTGGCTTCCAGAGACATTTCTATAGAGCACTAATCCATTTTGGGTTTCAGTTGGGCATCTCTGGACCAGGGCTGTTGGTGCACTAAGATAGCACGCGAAGGCACATTGTGGGTGTAACAGCCAGGCCGACGAACTGGCGGGCAGAAAGCTGGACAGCCCGGCACCTCTGCCACCATGCGGCATGGAGATTTAGTCCTGGAACCCGCATACCTGGGCCTTACGTGTGGAAGCTCTTGGTCGCCGGGATTCTATTTGGAGTAGGCAGGGAGACTGCACCAGCTCCATCTGGGGTACCCTGGTGAAATTGGCTCTGAGTGGGCCCGGAGAGACCTCTGGCTCTGTGGTGTCTCCTGGGACTCATTGCTGTGTCTCTGGACCAGGACTGTTGGTGCACTAAGGTGGTACATTGTGGGGGTGACACTCAGGCCAATAAGTGGGTGGGGAGCCGGGGAGGGACAGCCAGTCACTGTAATTTAATTAAAAAAATAAAAAAATTTTCTTTTTCCCTTTAAAAGGATTTATGTCATGAATATGAAACATACATTGATTTTACATGTTATATTTTCAGTGCCTCTAAGATTAGTTTTCCTCATCCAAAACGTTCAAGTCTCCCCTGCCCCCCTCTGAGATTTCCACTCAGCAGTTAAATAAATTTGGGCCACACCAGTGGTGCACAGGCCTGAGGTGCTGGGAGGGGGGGTAGATGAGTAAGGTGCCGTGCATTCCAGCCAGGGTCACGGCCGACACACCTGCATGCATGGCAAGTGCCTTACCTATTGCTCTGTCTCTCTGGCCCCATTTCATACTTTTTTTATTGATTTTTTTTTTTTGTCTACCTTGAAAAATATGAAGAAGCACTCTGTTTGATTTAAATTCCCTCCCCCACTTTTTTTTCTTTCTTTTTCTTTAAAATTAAGTCGGGATCCATGACACTTCCTTTTTACCTTAAATGAGAGATTTTTGGCATCGGTGAACTGTGAGTAGTTTCAGTTTCCTGAGTGAATTCCTTGGGAAGGAGAATACTGCTGTGACAGCGTGAGGTCTTGCTTCCTGTTACAAAGAAGCTTCTCTTCTTCTCGTGTGCTGGTACTGGAAAAGGTGTACTTTGAGCCAACATACGGTTAGGTGACTAAAATACCTCACGGTGGTGAAGCAGATTTTGGGTAAAGACTTTGCCCTGCAGCTTGGACTTGTGTAATGCATGACCTCGGGGAAGGGCTCACTGAGCCCCAGGATGAAGTCCAGGCTCTGTTAGGGTGAGGACATGCAATGTGGCCATTAGACTGAGGTCAGCACTCCTTCCATCTTTGCCCACCTGCTGATCTCTGTGGAATCAAACGTTGCCCCTGTGCTGGCAGACTCGGAGGATCAGTCCGGGCACAGCAGGGAGAGTTTGTCTTTGCTGGGCATCCAGGCAGGTGTTTGGAAGATTCAGGTAGCTGGGCATGTCTTAGAAGGTCCAAACACTTGGGACTGGGTACACCTGGGCTGGACTGGCTTGGAATTGCAGCTGAGGCTGTTGCTAGATCATCGTCCTGCCTGGCAACTCTGCTGATACTCATAAACTTTTCTGATCAGTTGTTAATGGGCAGATTTCCAAGACTGTCTTAGATCATTGGTCATGGGGAAACGAGACTCCATCTCAAATGGGAGGTAGGTCACTGAATCTGTGACCGTTTGTAAAACCGTCAACTACCAGGATCTAAATAATATATTTGAAGAATTGCTTCCCTGGACCCAGGAGAAGCACTTGCCTTCCACATGGCTGAGCCTGGGTTGAATCTCTGGCACCATGCACGGTCCTGTTGCAGGTGACTTAGTGTGAAGTGGGGAGAAGGGAGAGTGACAGCCTTGAGGAGGAAGACTGCTACTCCCGACTCTCCGCCTAGGTCACCCGGGAAGTGCCTGCGGAAATCTAGGCCTGATAAAGCCAGTGGCGAGCCCCTGCACGGGCACAGACCTCGCACCTCACCAGCCCCACGAGGCAGCCGTCAAGCTGCCCTGGAGTGCACTCGTTCTGCGTGGCGTGGGAGGTGACCCCTCCCACCTGGTTTCTCGAGAAGTTGTGGGCTCGGAATGGAGGGAGGAATTCCTCTTTGCAGGAAAGGAAAGTCAGTCCTAGACTCTCCAGGCTTTTCCAGGTCTGTTGCCATGCCCTCACAGGAAATAATTCCTGGAGCAGACAAAGAGTGAAGTAAAACAGCTTTTATTTAGAAATTATGAGGGAAGAGAGAAGGGGTGAGAAAGAGAACACATTCAAGAGAGAACGTGCAAGTTAATACTTTACTCTTTTAAACATGTCTTTAAAAGGATGGGTGGGGAGACCAATTAGGGGGCTGGAGTGCGTGTCTTTCGCCGCAAGCCCTTCCCAATTCTACAGCAGCCCCCAGAGCGTGGCCCCCAAACAAAACAAACAAGAACCAAATGTTTAAGACCCCTTTGGGGGACAGAAGTAATGGTACAGTGGGAAGGGCATTTGCCTTGCATACTGACCCGGATTCGGTCCCTGGCATCCTTATGGTCCCCTGATCATCACTAGGACTAATTCCTGAGCCAGGAGCAACCCCTAAGCATGGCTGAGTGGACCCCAAAAGTCCCTCCCTCCCTCTTAGTAGCCCCTTTGGTATATCCTGTAATGATTCCATTTTTTGGTCCTCCTTTCTGGGAAAACCATTGTTCTGAAAATGCTTTTACTGCATCTGTATCCACAGTGTGGAGTCTCGCTGTCCATATGCTATAATAGAGTCTCATAAAAAGGCTTATGATCTAAACTGTTCAGATCAAAGCCTACTATAGTAAACCCTCATTTGCACACCACCAAACATGTTTTCACTTGGGTATGAACCTGGCAACATTTGCAGCGAGTACTTCAGTCCTATTTCAGCAACTTCCCAGTACAGCCAGGTCTGTCGTCTACTTAAATTGCGTAAATTGGGTTCTTACCTTCCCTGCATTGCTAATGGAAATGTCCCGTGACAGGCAGAAAAGACTGTGAAGAGAACAGGTGAGCCTGAGAGGCTGCAGAAAGTTCCTGTTTGAAGAAAACGTAGGAGCCCTGACACTTGAGGAAAATAAGTGCACCAATGAGAACTGTCGTTTACACTGAGTGCTGCTCTCATACACACCCAAGGGCTTTAAGATTAGGAACCAGAACTATACACACTTTATGCTTTACACAAGTTGTTGGTGGGTTACTGCATAGTTGTGGTGTTTTTTTTTTTCTTTTTGGGTCACACCTGGCGATGCACAGGGGTTACTCCTGGCTCTGCATTCAGAAATTACCCCTGGCGGTGCTCAGGGGGCCATATCGGATGCTGGTAATCAAACCCGGGTCGGCTGCATGCAAGGCAAATGCCCTACCTGCTGTGCTATCACTCCAGCCCCACAGCATAGTTTTTAAGGGTAATTTTGAGTCTGGTATGGGGAGAGAGAAGTGGTAATTTAGGTGAACGAGAAGTAGATTATTATATATGAAAAATTTAAAAGATATATGATATACAAAATAAACTACATATCAAAATACAGAATTTTATGTATAATTTAAGCATTAATTCAGTGTCAGCAGCTCTTCTACAAGTAATTTTTGTTTTCTACTTTGTTAATTTATTTTAATTTTTGGTATTTTTTGCATCTGTAGCACTGTCCTCCCGTTGTTCATTGATTTGCTCCAGCGGGCACCAGTAACGTCTCCATTGTGAGACTTCTTGTTACTGTTTTTGGCATATCGAATACGCCACAGGGAACTTGCCAGGGTGTGCCGTGAGGGTGGGATACTCTTGGTAGCTTGCCGGGCTCTCTGAGAGGGATGGAGGAATCAAACCTGGGTTGGCCACATGCAAGGTAAACTCCCTATCCACTGTGCAATTGCTCCAGCCCTAGGGGCAGTTTTAATCCAAAGGATTAGTCATAGGACT